TGATTTATTTATTTATTAATGTATTGCTTAATTGTTTGATTGATTTATTAATTTATGGATTCATTGATTTATTGTTTTATTAATTAATTAATTTATTTATTTATTTATTTATTTACTTACTTATTTATTTATTGATTTATTTATTTATTGATTTATTTATCTATTGATTAATTGATTAATTGATTTATTGGTTTTTTTTTTATTTATTGATTAATTTATTAATTGATTTAGTGATTTATCGATTGATAGTTATATTGATTTATTGTTTTATTGATTTATTGATTAATTAATTAATTAATTTATTGATTCATTGATTTATTGATTTATAGATTTATTGGCTTAGTGATTTATTGATTTATTGATTTACTGATTTGTTTATTTATTGCTTTTTGATTAATTGAATAATTGATTAATTGAATAATTGATTTATTGATTTATTGATATATTGATCTATTTATTTATTGACTTTGCGGAATTTATTAAATTTCTTGGATTTCAGAACTTCTTCAAACGCACTTCTCCGAAGTTCTCAAATCTTTTAGTAAGTTCTCGGCACCACTTTCTGGCTCTTCTTTAAACTTCTCGAAACATTTCCAAAGTTCTCGGAACTTTTCCAAAGTCCTCGGAACTTTTCCAAAATTCTCGGAACTTTTCCAAAGTTTTCGGAACTTCCCCAAAGTTCACAGAACATCCAAAGTTCTCGGAACTTTTTCAAAGTTCTCGAAACATTTCCAAAGTTCGCGGAACTTGCCCAAAGTTCTCAGAACTTTTCCAAAGTTCTCAGAACTTTTCCAAAGTTCTCGGAACTGTTCCAAAGTTCTCGGAACTTTTCCAAAGTTTTCGGAACTTTTCCAAAGTTCTCGGAACTTTTCCAAAGTTCTCGGAACTATTCCAAAGTTCTCGGAACTTTTCCAAAGTTCTCGGAACTTTTTCAAGTTTTCGGAACTTTTCCAAAGTTCTCGGAAATTTTCTAAAGTTTTCGGAACTTTTACAAAATTCTCGGAATTTATCCAAAGTTCTAGGAACTTTTCCAAAGTTCTAGGAACTTTTCCAAAGTTCTAGGAACTTTTCCAAAGTTCTAGGAACTTTTCCAAAGTTCTAGGAACTTTTCCAAAGTTCTAGGAACTTTTCCAAAGTTCTAGGAACTTTTCCAAAGTTCTAGGAACTTTTGCAAAGTTCTAGGAACTTTTGCAAAGTTCTAGGAACTTTTGCAAAGTTCTAGGAACTTTTGCAAAGTTCTAGGAACTTTTGCAAAGTTCTAGGAACTTTTGCAAAGTTCTAGGAACTTTTGCAAAGTTCTAGGAACTTTTGCAAAGTTCTAGGAACCTTTCCAAAGTTCTAGGAACTTTTCCAAAGTTCTAGGAACTTTTCCAAAGTTCTAGGAACTTTTCCAAAGTTCTAGGAACTTTTCCAAAGTTCTAGGAACTTTTCCAAAGTTCTAGGAACTTTTCCAAAGTTCTAGGAACTTTTCCAAAGTTCTAGGAACTTTTCCAAAGTTCTAGGAACTTTTCAAAAGTTCTAGGAACTTTTCAAAAGTTCTAGGAACTTTTCCAAAGTTCTAGGAACTTTTCCAAAGTTCTAGGAACTTTTCCAAAGTTCTAGGAACTTTTCCAAAGTTCTAGGAACTTTTCCAAAGTTCTAGGAACTTTTCCAAAGTTCTAGGAACTTTTCCAAAGTTCTAGGAACTTTTCCAAAGTTCTAGGAACTTTTCCAAAGTTCTAGGAACTTTTCCAAAGTTCTAGGAACTTTTCCAAAGTTCTAGGAACTTTTCCAAAGTTCTAGGAACTTTTCCAAAGTTCTAGGAACTTTTCCAAAGTTCTAGGAACTTTTCCAAAGTTCTAGGAACTTTTCCAAAGTTCTAGGAACTTTTCCAAAGTTCTAGGAACTTTTCCAAAGTTCTAGGAACTTTTCCAAAGTTCTAGGAACTTTTCCAAAGTTCTAGGAACTTTTCCAAAGTTCTAGGAACTTTTCCAAAGTTCTAGGAACTTTTCCAAAGTTCTAGGAACTTTTCCAAAGTTCTAGGAACTTTTCCAAAGTTCTAGGAACTTTTCCAAAGTTCTAGGAACTTTTCCAAAGTTCTAGGAACTTTTCCAAAGTTCTAGGAACTTTTCCAAAGTTCTAGGAACTTTTCCAAAGTTCCTAGAACTTTGGAAAAGTTCCTAGAACTTTTCCAAAGTTCTAGGAACTTTTCCAAAGTTCTAGGAACTTTTCCAAAGTTCTAGGAACTTTTCCAAAGTTCTAGGAACTTTTCCAAAGTTCTAGGAACTTTTCCAAAGTTTTAGGAACTTTTCCAAAGTTTTAGGAACTTTTCCAAAGTTCTAGGAACTTTTCCAAAGTTCTAGGAACTTTTCCAAAGTTCTAGGAACTTTTCCAAAGTTCTAGGAACTTTTCCAAAGTTCTAGGAACTTTTCCAAAGTTCTAGGAACTTTTCCAAAGTTCTAGGAACTTTTCCAAAGTTCTAGGAACTTTTCCAAAGTTCTAGGAACTTTTCCAAAGCTCTAGGAACTTTTCCAAAGCTCTAGGAACTTTTCCAAAGTTCTAGGAACTTTTCCAAAGTTCTAGGAACTTTTCCAAAGTTCTAGGAACTTTTCCAAAGTTCTAGGAACTTTTCCAAAGTTCTAGGAACTTTTCCAAAGTTCTAGGAACTTTTCCAAAGTTCTAGGAACTTTTCCAAAGTTCTAGGAACTTTTCCAAAGTTCTAGGAACTTTTCCAAAGTTCTAGGAACTTTTCCAAAGTTCTAGGAACTTTTCCAAAGTTCTAGGAACTTTTCCAAAGTTCTAGGAACTTTTCCAAAGTTCTAGGAACTTTTCCAAAGTTCTAGGAACTTTTCCAAAGTTCTAGGAACTTTTCCAAAGTTCTCGGAACTATTCCAAGTTATCGGAACTTTTCCAAAGTTCTCGGAAAATCTTTTAAGAAGTTCCGAGAACATTGGAGTTGGATAACAATCTAGTTAATAAAGATTTTAAACAAGATTTAAACAAAAATATAAAAATTTGTGCATGCGGGATATGTGAAAAGGGAAACGAAATGGATGGTGTCACGCTACCACAATTATCGAAAACAGTCAAGATTTTTACGTTTAAGTAAATAGCTATGCTATATAAGCTATGTTAGTCAATACTCCAATATTCCAAATCTAGAGAAAAAGTACTTTTAATGTTGGATAATTGGATAATTAAAAAATTAAAATTACAAATTACCCTTAATATCTAAGAAAATAGTCAAAACATTCTTCCTAAGTAAAGATGGATTTCACAAAAACAACATGTACTAAGATCCAATCAATTCTTAAAATCAGTTTTAACATAATCTTTCAAAGAAACTTAAGGGGAAAGAGGACTTCATTAATTTAAACTCAAAAGCAGCTTTTCCGTTGTGATCTAAAATTCTGTCAATGAAAATATGTTTACTGTTTTCCGGTGGCCAAGTAGAATGCAATGAACACATCTTCATGAATGTTATTTTGGATTTGAACGAAAAAACTGCTTTTGAATTTTTAATTTTTTTTTTCTTTGTTAAAGAGACTTTCAGTCCTAGACTGGTTTATTATCATTTTTTTAAATTAATTACGTCCCCTATCATCTTAAAGACCGTTCAGATATTAAAATATGTTTTACTGATCTATGACTTAAAACTCGGTATCTCATATATTTAAAAAGTTTTGAAAGTTATGGGACTTCTCCGAGATATCTGATTAAGATCAATACAAAATCAAAAAATTGGAAAAAGAGCAACTCGATTAAACCATAGAGGTAACTCTAAGACCACTGGGTCCCGAAGAAAATCATTATTATTTTTGGCTCACTCAGTACCAGAACAACGGTCCCAAGCAGTCCCAAGCTATTTCACTCACCCCTGCATGTTCTGCATGAATCCACACACCCCTGATGTTATCTGTCAAACTTTCATAGCGAATCAAAACAAACATAGTGTAGTAATAGAATTTCAACTAGAATAGGGTACGTTAATCGTTTGCTTGGGACCAATAGGCTACTAAAGTGGTGAGCCAATTTAAAATCGTTAGTTTCGTATTGATTGTTGATTAAACTAGTTGTTTAAAAATTCCCTGATTGGCGGCGAAATTCCCTAAAAAAAAGCATGCTGCGGTTGTCAAATGCAATGCTAATATTTCAAAACAAACAATACAATACATAGGTTCATGTAAATTCTACAGACAATCTTCGGTCAATTTATCTGTTTATACTCATTCGTAGAGTAAGAATTTTGAGGCAACCAATAACTTTGCTCGAATTGTGGATTTTGCATATGAGAAATTACAAAATAATGCTGCTGCTATTTCTGACAGTTCCATTCAAATATCGGTCGATCAATTACAGCGAGATTGTACAATGTGAACCGTCTTTTTGGCAAACTAAGTCCCATTTGGATAGACCATGCTGGTCTAAATGAATCCCCACCCATATCCACCCAATGGCCATTATGTATTCAAACAGCGGCCATGTTTTAACATCATTCTCGAATGTTAATTACTCAATGACCTCACCAATGAATAACCAGCCAGTAGTAGACTGTTACAGCTGGGATTTATTCTCCCAAATCACATAAACCTATATAGGTACTCTCCAACCTCCAAATACGTCACGTCTATAGTCGGTCGTTGGAACCGGCAAAAGCTTACCTATAGCAAAACACATCAAAACAACCCCTTTTCTCACCTCCCCTCCCCTCCTCGCACCAGCGTGAACCGTAATCCCACTTGATACCTCAGCCTCTTTAGTTTGTTCGACGACGTCTCGCGTCCTACGAAAACTTCTCAGCCGGTCGTTCCGGATACCTACATGCAAGTCACGTTCGTCCCCATCAGAGAAGAAACAAGAACAACAGCAGGGGCGGACGGACGGACGGACGGACGGGTAGGCGGCGTTAAGAACAAACTAATTGAGTTACGCTGTTTAGCACGCCCGAAAAACTTTCCGTTCCAATGTTCTGAATGAGGCTTCATCTTCACCGTTTTTTTCTTTTTCCTTTTCTTTTACAGGCTGTGGAAAGACGTGGTGAAATGATAGTGCGAATCCTGGAGCCCCGCTGCATGGGCAGCCGGCAGGCCGTCGAGGCAGGTCAAAAGTTTCTCAACAAAGCCGACGCACGTCACACGGTTCAGGTGAGAGAATCGATTTTAACCTCACATTTGACCGATTCCGATTAGTCCAAAGTGAGGTTTGATCAATCAAGGGATGTTTGTTGACACCAATTGCACTTACCTTACAGCTGGTGGAGATTGTCAAGCGGCCCGGTCAGACCCTGGGGCTGTACATCCGCGAGGGAAACGGAGCGGACCGATCGGACGGAGTGTTCATCTCCCGGATAGCACTGGAATCGGCCGTCTACAACAGCGGCTGCCTGAGGGTAAGTACCTACATACAAATGCAGAAGTTAGTTTAGTACGGTCATTTTCTCATTACTGGCTGAAATAATGACAGCTGGGAACACGGGCAAACCCTTGCCAGAAGTAAGAAATCGGAGCCATTTTTTTATGGCCAAAAGTTTGCTGCTTTAATAACCGGAGCCAATTTTGGTCTCTGGTGCGAGAAAAGTCAAACGTTGGCTAGTGCACGGAATGGCTGCCGGGTGGAATATTTAGGCCACACGCACACTTTATTGCTCTTTGATAATTGTTATTACTTTCTCACGTTTGTTAGCCGCGAACCTCCTCCCACTGCCGGAGAATAGCTGGCAGTAAAACTTTCCTCCAGAAGACCCAGAAGAGCTTTAAACAAGTTCCGTCGTTCGCCTTTTTCATTCGTCTTTTCACATCCATAATGATGCAATTGCTCGAAACGAGAATGGAGGGAAGAGTTGTTTATTGCACTTCCTCTTCCTCGAGGAGAACTTCTTGCAGCTGCTCCTTGGGTTCCGCATCAGTAGTGTAGGGATAAAGTTTGCTACTTCACACGGTTCTATTCCGTTTCTGAACCTTGGCAACCAGGAAAAGATGCTCCGTCTCCGTCGCCATGTTGTTGAACCGTCGGCTACAGGCGGCTTCTGCAGCAGCCTCCGTTGCAAGTCTCCGATGCTCATCGAAGGAAATAATTCAATTAAAAGTTGCTTCGAGGGCACAACACTACCGCCCCGGGGGGTGCTCAAGCGGAATTGTGCGCCTACGACGATTGATGGCTGTGGAGGATGGGCCCTACGTGCGATTCAACCAGCCCGAGAAGCGTCTCTTCAGCCTCCACCTGTTTGCCTATATAGCTCTGAAGGGCTTTGCTTTTGTGCGAACTTACGGGTCTTGCTAAAGAAGGCTACGAGTTACGAGCTTATCAATCGTTCCAGGGATTATTATAGGAAGAAATCAGCACAAATTCTTCATTGTTTCACATGACAATCTCACTATCCGGTATTGTGAGTTCGATTAAAATAACGCGATTATAGATCTACAGTTCTCTAACCTTTCATTGGTAGCGACTGACTTTTTTCCATTTCCATAAACTCGCGACCAATCTAAATTGTAGGCAGATAATGTGAGTTCGTCAATAGTGAAATAGATCTCTTTGATACACATATTGAGATTCTATCCAAACATTTCCATGGTCACTCGAGGCTCCACGGGAACCTGTTCCGGAATGGTCGTTCTGAGGAAAAGTCATCAAATGGCCTTCAAATTAATCTTCTGGAGTGATTCCATGTTGGATTTCCAGTGTTCACTCGGCTGTCGACAAAAGCAGGCCACTCTCGATGTGTGCCACGCGATCGTCTGTTTTCTCGGCAGCAACCATTGTGTGGTCCTCCTCATTGTTCTTCATCAGCAGTTCTTTCGGTCGATGCGTCGTCGACTTTGGAAAGCAACCGTTTAGTGATGAGTGTGTGAGTGCTGACCACGTTTTGCGTCCATTGCTTCAATGGAAGCGCTTTGCCCCACGATGACGGAACTACCATACAATGAAACCACTGGAAGCGGCTCCAGTTCTGATGGAGGAAGCTTTTTGGATAGCGGAAGATAAAGGGTTTTTTGTGTTGTACCTTTTGACTATAGTTTTAAGATGTATTGTATAGTGACCAAGAATCCTCGGCTCTGTAAAGTTAATTCGGTTGAGTCTTATCAAATAAATTTATGAAAAAAAAAATGTCGGATTTCCGGGAACAAGATAAGACCCAGTGAGCCATTGTTGAAAGTGGCTCAAAATTAAGCAAGTTTCTGAATCCAACTTGGTTCGAAATAGCCATGGTTGCAATCATTTCAAGTTTGTAGGTACCAGGGAACCCTGCAGAACTTGTAGAGTTTAAAACGTTTAAAAGACCCCCCCCCCCCTCTTTTGACTCCCCTAACTGCAAAACCTTTTTTTTTAAGAAAAGTTGTCTTTTAACTTGTTTTTAGAAGTTACTAAATTGTCGTTTCCTGTTTTGAAATAAACTTTAAAATTTCATAATTTGAAATCTGAAAAGGTACCCGGGCACTAAAGAGACTAGGATATACAAAGAGACGTAATCTGATCAATATGAAAACAAATCATCTAGCAACCACGCGCGCGAAACTTTCATTGCTCAAAACTTTGTTTGTCTTTCGATTTGATCCCGTTTGTGTTGTTTTTTTTTCGGTGATTAGATTTAGAGTTGGTATTCAATTTAAATAAAAAAAATATCTTCTATCTTCTATATTTCAATGCGCTTGATTTAAGCGAAGACTACAAATCAAGAAGACTGGCAACTCTGCCAAAAATCAGGAGACAGTAACGGCAACGCCTCTTCTGTGCAAAAGTGGAACCTGTGTATGATGATGTGTGTTAATTCACGAGTGCATTCACACACATAGGTAGAAAAAATAGCTGTCAATTATTGGTTTTGTTATGATTGTCGTAAAAAGTGGAATGTTTCTTTCTTTGCTCTATGCTGACAACGAGTAAAATGCCAGTTGAAATTGAACAGATGCGTAAGTAAATTTGTTTTGAAAATTAAAACTATGATAATGATGCCATTCACAATGATGGTCTACAATTCTACCTTCCTACCTTCCTCGATCACTTATTTGTTATCTCAGAATTATCTTCCACTTTTCCTAAGCCCTCTAGTGATACATTTATGGGCATTCGTATGGTGCATTAGTAAAATGCATACCCGTTCCGCATGGCTTTGGCACCTGGCCACAGTGGAGGAAGTTAAGTCACCGACAAACCGACATGAAATACCATACAAAGTACCAACACATTTCTGATCAAATCTGACTGACTGACATCTGCCGCCGTGTTCGCGAAAAATGTGTATCCTAGCCACAAACACGCATACAAAATGTATGAGTTGTTTCGTGTCTAATCTGTTCCGGACAAAATATTTTTATCTAGATAACAAATTTCTATAGTTTTGACAGATGGGATCGCTGCACATTTGAATCCACCGTTATGGATTCTCGATCAAGAGTTAAGTTTAAGTTCCACGTCGGTTTGTCGGTGGTTAAGTTGTGACGCTCGGCAACTTGGCACAGTACTCGCTGACCATTTGAATGTCACTGGCCAAGCCGACACTGTTGTTATCATTCTCTGAAAGGGGTCGGTCGATTCTAAGAATTGTTAAAGCGTACAGAGGTGGTTTCATGTTCTGACAACATCTAAAATGGGAATAGATTCTTTATCAGTAGGTACCGTTTAGGATTGTAGTCCTTCAACCTTTCATTTTCTTTTTCTTTAACATTGGATCCTGCTACGCTTTCCTTTGTATCGTGATATATGTACCGGATCTTTCTTCTTTTTGAATCCTTGAATTTTCAGCAGCTTTCGAATGATGGTAGTTCACTCAATGGTGGTGGAAGCTGCCAATTTCTTGTTATTAATTGCTTTCAACAGGCAAAACAAACAATATTTCGGTTCCTGGTTCACAAGTAAAAGTTATTTTCACTAGGTATGGATCCGAGTTTCAATCCTCTACTTGAGTCACCATGACAAGGTTTGGAGTTGGAAAACCACCGGCTTGCTGGGATTAGGATATAAATTGCCGTGAAATTTTGTAGAGCAAAACAAAAACAACAACGGGTACCGTGTTACGATTATTCGTTTCGGTGACATTAGGTCACACACACAGTCACTGTTTATGAGCAGTCTCACTAACACTTGTGATTCAAAGTTTCAGCTTTGATTGACAGAGGCGCTGTTATCAGTAACGTTTGACATTTGTAGGGAAGAAGGGAACAGTTGCCTGTCTTCTTGATTTGTAGTCTTCGGTTTTAGAGATTGTACCTGTAAATTTCTGAAACGCTTGGTGAAGCAGATAGCAATCCGTCTCCGATCACCGCCTGTAACAGCAACATTTTTTTTGGTTTGACAGGTCTCGTGCTCGGTTACAATGACATTGACAGATAAATTGGAATACCAATCGGAAAATGGCGTCTCTTTGTATATTCTAATCACTTTACAGGATACCCTGTCGAACACATAAGGGTTAAGTCTAGGGTTCAGTATAAACATAACTATTTCTATCCAATTCCTTTGTATATAAGATGTTCTAGGTTCTCTAAATCGTCCTGGATCTACTAGATCAACCATGACCGGGACAATATTCCTAGCAGCAAAATGTGTCCAAATAGACACCCAGACTTACATGCATATCAGATGTTCCAGGTTATCCTAGATGTTCTGGATCACAGATCAATCGATCCACAAGGTCAACAATGTTTCTACCAACAAAACATGTATAATAGGGTTGATCATGTTGGGTCAACCGGTGCGTTGCTAAACCCAATTTAGCAACAACCATCAACAACAACAACAGCACACCGGCAGTTGCCAAACAGGTTGGGAAATGGCAACAAACCCTTTCGGTGGACAGCGTTTAACGCACGCACACTAGCGGGTGCATCGCCGTGTAAAGTTGTTTATTATTTTCCTCTGCCTCCTAACCTAAATAATGTGTGAAGTTCTAACACGTTCTCCCACATCGCATCAATACAACCGGACGTGAAAATCTCTATTCGGAGGAACCAAGCAAAACAAAGTGAAACGTCTCGCGGTCAATTTTGCTTTTCGATTGTTTCGAGTGCAATTCGGCTAGGACTACTAAATGAGTTCCTTCAAGCCACGTGGATAAAATTTGATAAATCTAAAAGATGAAGCGTGTGCCTCACGATTCACGAGAATCTATGAGAAATTTATAGAAATTTGCACTGAAAACAGCATCCCAGCCAAACTGAAACTACGAGCCCCAATTAGAACATAAAAGTCAGGCGGCCGGCTCAATGGCGCAAATAAATTCTCGTTGGCAAAGCGGTGGCTCCCCGAAAAATACGATCTTGGAATGTCTCCAAAGTTCTCGGAGCTTATCTCAAGCTCGTGGAACTTCACCGAAGTGTTATGAACTTCACTGAAATTGCTGAAACTTCGTAGAAATTTTTTAAATTTCACTGAAGTTATCGGAGCTTAAGT